TATCCGTAATAAACACACAATAAATTTACGTGAGAAAGGGTTACCAAAATAGATTTTGGAACCGTTTCTTATGTTACATCGTGTGTATTCTGTTAGGAGAGGTTGAACACAATACAATGAGATGTATAATTGTACCTGTTGGTTAGTTGTTGCATTATGAAAATGTAATAATGTGATTAAATTATGCAAATAAGGCTTATGTCTTATGAGCCCATCTCTATCCTTCTCCCATATCACTAAATATCCGTTCAATGGAACTTTGTTGCAGTCATCAAACTCTTATACTGTCTCCAGGTGTGTTAGTGTTTATTTTTTCTCTCTCTCTCTATCTCTATCTCTCTCTCTCTCTCTCTCTCAACAACTGCATATTATAGTTTGTTTGAATCATTCAAATTGAATGTTTTGCTAATGCTCAATTGCTAACTAAGCGATATAACTAGTAAGTAGTAAGTACGCGCACAGATGAGCAGATGCCTTCTCAGCACCAAGATAATTGCACAGTGATAAATATTTGTGATAGATGATATTTGATTTGCCGCTCACGGTACACATCGTTCACTGCACATTCACGAAGCGGTAAAACATCTAAACATAAAATTTGATGTTAGTTGCTTTGTCAATGTTGGAGTGCGCGAAGTTTTAAATACATGTAAACTAAATCAAATCGTTTTCAGCAGCATGGTTGCGCGTCTCTATTTTCGCGCGCGTTAATTACGTTTATTGTATCGTATATTTTACAATAAACTTTATCGGACACGTCCACGTAGTGTGCCGAATCTAAGTAAACTATAGGTAAAAATATAATATTAATCATAAGCTAAAATGTACTAATCTTTGTATTCTAAATGGGGAAAAAGAAGAAACATTGTCAGTCAGTCGAGAAAATTGTCAGTCAGGCTATATGGCAGCTTTGTAGATGTTGTGACTATGCTAGTAGTGGTCCCAGGCTTGCGACTGGAATTGCGGTGTTAAATCGATTTAATGGTACCAACGATCCACCTCCCACTTGTTGTTTGGTACTTAGCATTAATAGTGTTAGCTGTAGCCATTTATAGCAAGAATCTTAAAACTAAAGGGGATGACAAGGAAAAGAGGAAGGAAAAAGAATAACGGGACAAACAATTAATTAAAGTATTTATAGGAGCATTAGATATTGTAATTACAAGCTTCAATAATAAATCACTGACTAAAACTTCTAATTAAAATGACACTTGGTACGCTCGCCCATTTTCACTGGTCAGTCTGAACTTCGGTTTAGCACGTTGTACACTTATTCACCTAAGTTTCAGAATTTGTTCAGTTTAGCAGAGTTAGTACCCGTGTTTCAATAAATCAAAAGATATCAGGGGAGTTCTTTAATAATGTTACGGTCATCTAGAATACCGAACTTCCTGAAAACGTTATCATATTTCCTCAGACAACGTTTAATGCCTTTAATCAGTCTATCACGGCTATATCCTCTATCAATTAGAATTTTGAATATTTTGTGAAGATGGGAGGTAAAGATATCCAATCTAGTGCAAACATTACCATATCTAAGAACTTGACTTGAAAAAACGTTGTAGCCAACCTCGGTTGGGATGTTACTGTGAGGAAATGTAAGGGATACAACATGAAAATTAAAATCATCAGTTTTGTTATACACTGATATTTCTAGTCCTTCTGTGGAAATATTAATATTTAAATCAAGGTAGTTAATGATTTTATTATTGGAACCAGCTCGCTCCATCTCCAATGAATTAGGATAAATATCTTTAATCAATTTATGAAAGTAAAGGTAGTTAATAATAGATAAATCGTCAACATATCGTTTATTATTGGATAATATCTTTGCTAATCCCATTTTCTTTTCCTGAAGTAAACGTTTCATATAATTAAATTCCTTTTTGCCAACAGTGAGATCAGCTATAGGGGAACTTGAATTTCCGCCCATAGGAATACCCTTGGTTTGTATGAATACAATCCCACCGAAGACGACATAAGTGTTATAAATAATAAATTTAACAGCCTCTTTTAGGTCATCTTGACTAAAGCAGGCATGACAATCATAGGTTTTATTGGAAAAGAAACATGTATTACTGTCTCTTTTAGAAATACAAATATATCTATTACGGTCTGAAAATATTAAATCAACAACTTCATTAATCATATTCTCTACTTCAATCAAGTCTAATCTGGTATAAAGAGTAGTAAAATCATATACTTGTATATTATAAACATCGCTATTTTTGATAGCTTCAAGGAATTCACTTGAGGAATCTATGCTCCAAAACATGTTTATACCGCTGTTGTTGTAGATTGCCTCGCAGTATTTCTTGAAGTATTTCCTCAAAAGTTTCAGACAACAGTTAACTTGGACGTTAAGTTGTTTCGTAACGCAAAAACGGGCACCTGCAATGAACCTCGCCTTGTAAGGGTTCTTATGAAGCTTAGGGTTCCAGAAGATGCGTGCTAGTCGCAAGTTTTTATCTTCAACTTGTACATTAAATCTCTCCTTTAGACTCTCAGATATTTTATTGACATAATGAGTCTCGTCTTCGCTACAGGGTTTATATGTATCATTACCTATACATTCTAGAGTATTAGGATCAAAACCCATTTCATTGACAAGAGTTTTTACATAAAACTTTTTACAAATAAATGAAAAATTACCAGAAGCTTTGTCGATACTACAAATAATGTATTTACTTTTCAGCAATTTAAGACTTCTTTTAACATCATCTTTTTCCAGTGTGTTTTCTTTTATTTCAAATGTTTCAGGAAAGTTTTTCTTGTAATATTCAATACGATTGGAAACTATTGATAACACTTTTTCCTTCCAATCGCTGAACTTTACTTCTTTTTGACAGTACTTTCTACTTTTTGATTTTATAAATTTATCGACAGCTTCGGTAACTGACATATATATCTCATCTGGAGACTTAAATGTGGGAATTCTGTATTTACAACCGTAGGAAAGTACTTCCATAAGTTCAACATTATCAACAATATCTAAATTACCAGTAACTACATGTCCATGAGGAGGATAATTGAAAGGGGAGGAGTGACAATCGCATGGACTACCTAAAATAGATTTAATATCAGAAATAGAAAGTTTCTTTAAGAATGAAGCATAGTTACAAATAGAAAGACTTATAGGATCATTATACTCATAATAAATCTGTAATGGTGTAAAAGACTGAATCAAAATGGGAAGCAAATCAATGACTGAGGTGTCAGAGAAAATAGATTTTAGGTTAAGATTATCAATGAATTTGCAATTAAATGGAACAATTATAAATTCTCTATTACTGGATTCAGATTTGTTCTGATGGTATTTGGGGGAAAATGTTGAACAGAAAGAGGAACATACGTTGTAAATCAATCCTGAATTATTTTGACTCAAAGAGTAGAGAGTGTCTAAATCTGATAAGCTATAACATTTTAATGTTTTGTATATGGAATGTTCTGAAGAGATGTTATCTTTCAGCCTGTTAATATCAGACTCTATGGTATCCAGAGACTTCTTAGGCTGAACTTTCTTCTTTCCATTCCCTCTGCCACGTTTGTATCGAGCAATCTGTCCACTAAAATAATTCATAACCCGATCTTGGGAGATGTTGCCCGTTCCTTTCTTCTTGTCATTAAGACCAAGAGGGAATGCTGTCCCAAGCTTCTCTATCCAGTAATCCTCCAGGAGAAGTAAATCATTTTTGACATCGGTGGACATGTCAGAATCAACATAATCTACAATCTGTATGGAAGCATCTGAGAAGACGTGACCAGGAATATTAAAATGTTCATATAAAAATGTGGATGATTTGGCTTTGACACAATTTCTGTGGCCATTGACTCTTTTATGAAGTGGTTGAGTTGTTTCTCCAACATATTGTTTTTTACAGGTAGAACAGGTAATAACATAAATAACATTATTAGTTTTACAATTAAATATAAAATTTGTATGTCCAAAGATAAAATCATTATTAAAAGTACTGCTCCTAAATGTATTAACAGGATTAAAACTGTTGCAAGTGAGACAACCTCTACCATTGCAACATCTAAAAGTGCTAGAAAAGACATTACTAGGGGTTACCCATTTATTCAAGGATTTTGAGAAAAATTTACCATTACGTTTAAGTCAAGAAGGTAACATCATCCCTTTCGGCGTTTCCGCCTAGACCCAACGACTCGAGATAGGCCAAGGACAACGGGTCGGACATCAACCTATTGTCATGGGGCTGCCATGATTGGGCGGGCGTTAGATGTCATGAACCTAAATAGTTCTCCCACCGACGCAGTGTAGCCTGGCGAGATTCTTCGCGACCATAAAAATCTCTTAGAACCGGATCTTGCACTGCCGCTGTTTCTCGTACCGTAGCATGGCGGACAGCTCACGCCAGAAAATGAAATAAACAGGTAAATACAGGATAAATCAGGAGATGTATGTACAACAACAAGACTTCAAGGAGGGCGCCCAAGAAAACAAAGATCAACCAAATCTCGGAACCAATGGCCGGGAGAGATATAAATGTAATTATAGAGCAATATCAAGAAAAGCTATCAATTATGTATCCAACGGGGCGGAAGAACCGACCACCAGTACTTGATACCATGATACGGACGTAATCTAAGTAAACTATAGGTAAAAATATAATATTAATCATAAGCTAAAATGTACTAATCTTTGTATTCTAAATGGGGAAAAAGAAGAAACATTGTCAGTCAGTCGAGAAAATTGTCAGTCAGGCTATATGGCAGCTTTGTAGATGTTGTGACTATGCTAGTAGTGGTCCCAGGCTTGCGACTGGAATTGCGGTGTTAAATCGGTGCGGTGTTAAATCGTGCTTCGTTCTAAAAAGGTGTTAAAATTAGCTCATATTATTGTACAGAACATACCGAGTAAATTTTGCACATATATTCTATCGTGTTTCCCGTTAAAATTGGTGTGTCATTTAAAACACACATATTTCGAATATATCAACGTTACTTGCGTTCCAAAATTAACACTCGATGCTTTGCAGGTTGCATGAGGCTGAAAAGAAAAACGAAACGGTTGTCAAAGAGAAACAAAGCCTAGAAAAGAAGCTGAAGATTGAAATTAATCAAGCTAAAGTTTGTTCGATTATGATATCCATTCTTCATACTTTCAAGTACAGTGTCAACCAGCTCTTTAATTTTCGCCTGTGATTCCGTAATTTTATCTAGGAATTATTACATTGAGAATATCAGATCGGATGCCTTAATGAAAAGTACAGTTTAATCTAACGTATATTTTACACTCAGAACGAAGCTGAGAGGTTGTCAAAAGAACGAGAGCTAACCAAAACAGAAGTAGAACGTCTTAGACTGGCAGAGGAAGAGCTAGAACAGGTCAGTTTTTAGTTTTCTAAAATCCTGCTCAGGTAACTGTCCTATTGAACATGGTGTTTAATTCATTATCTTTGAAATCATCATCCGCCTTTAGCTGGATTTCAGGATGTTACCTCTATTTTCGTTCCTGAATGAATTTTAGAACCGTTTTATCGAAATTTGCGGTTCCATAACGCTTAATAAAGTTTTTAAGTTTTTATAACGATCCCAATGATTTGTTTTAGCAATAATGTGTCCCAGGTTCGACTGGCTTTATTTAACGCAGAAGCTAAACAATGTCAGAACTCGTCAGTAAACAGAGAACTACAGTCTTATCTGAAGACAACTTATAGAAAAGAAAGGGAGCAGTACAACTTTAAGAAGGCAGCAGCAGACAAGCAGTTGGAAGAAGCAAAGCAATGGGTGAGAATTTCCAGAATTTAATTGTTTGACGCTGTCTTTTTTGCGATCAGGAATTGTTTGCTCGTAGCTTCCAATATTAGACAAGTTCACAATCTCACACCCTGAATTGAGTTCATTTTCTAAAAATATTCCATTATTCAGGGCCTGAAGATGAAAAAGAAACGCGCTGGGGTAGTAAGCTCGCTGAAGATGATACACGGGAATGCTCTGGAAGCTGTTGAAAACAGGATTTGTAGCGCCCGAACAGCTCTCATTGAGGCAACTTCTGATCTTCAAGAACTTTCATCGGTAAGTGCTTTTTGTATGTGGCGTGCCTTAAGTTGACAGGATAATTTAATATCTTGATTCTTAGCGTGCTGAATTTTGCCTGAGTTACATCCCCTCAATATATCATATATTCACTATTCAAGCATATAATTTTTATAATTTCAGCGTTGGCGGAGAATAGAGAGTCTATGCAACTTCAACATTACAGCATCCGATGACGCGGAGTTTGGTAGCACAATCTCGTTAGCAGGATCGGACAGTAATTCCTCTCCTGAACCCAGCACATACGGTAGATCCAACTCTAATCCTTCCAAACTGTCCACCTACAACGGATCACACAAACAAACACAAAGCCTCAAGAACAGGGAAAAACCTAAATTTTCGTCTTCAAAGATACACGGTAGCACTCCAAACTTATCTGTTGATCTCACTTCCCCAGCTGGATCAATCCCAAGAATTGCCTCCTCTAATGCTGTCAAGGATCTAGCCAAGATGAAAAACAGAGTGAACGGACACAAAGACTCTACTGATAGCGACGATTCAAGTCACATTGAGAAACGAAGAAAGGGTAAGAACCTGTGGAGGTTAGTGAGAGAGAGCAGGCTAAATTCGGATCAGAAGTGGCAGGATCTGCTCCACCAAGCCGACCAAATTTGATTCCCCATCCTCATACCTTGGCTACCTTGCCTTGTGCTTAGTGTACACCAAACAGCTTGGCAAGAAACCAGGGGCCTTTAAGTTATTTTCCCTGTTATATTATTTAAATTTTGCTCTTTGAAAGGGTTAATCACAGTCATCTCATTTTATTGCGGAAATCAGCATCCAGTCCATTCACCTGCACCCCTAGATAATGTAAGAGAAACTTATAATTCCTCTGCTTAGTGATAGGATAAATTGTCTGAGAAAATTGTTCGATTTCTACAGTAAAATGTGCGTTTTACCACCGCATCAAGTACTGCTTTAGTGTGGCCCGGGTTTCGGGATTTGACGTCAGATTTTATGTTGATATTATGTTATTGTTAAGTTTTGAAAATATATTGATTGAATAAGTCTGTTTCGTAGCCTTTGCAGATTTAGGAGTTACTTTCTTCAAAAGACATGCTTATTGCTGATAGTTGTAGTTTACAGAAGCTGTTTATGTATAAGTCAATTAATTCAATTGTTTTTTGGTACAAAGTACGTGATCGTATAAAGTTCTTCCCCTGTCTCACTAACCAACTATATATATATTTATATATACATCTAAATTAGGAAATTAAAATGTTCAGTTCAATGCTTGATTTAAAAAAGGTCGCAGATTTGTTTATGATGAACGGAACTGAGGATGTTCATAATGAGTTATTTTTCTCAATTATTTAACGCTTAATCAAGTCGACCAACTAATAACGACAAGCTCCTTGATTTGTATAATTTGTGAGATTATGTACAGAAATTTAAATTGATATTTGTTGGTTTGTCAATCTTTAAGAAAGCGTTGTATTTATTCTTTGAAAATCGCCCAATAATCCAAATTTGCGCTCAAAACGACATAAGTGAAGTGCGATTATGACAAGTATGACAGCAGACATAATATCATTCTACTCTCATTGTCACAACATTTATCTTACAAAATAAGTAATAATCACGATACGAATAACATGCCAAGGTTTCTTCCGAGACTTGCAACAGAATAGCAAGGCCAGGTTTGGTAATATACAGCGCTATAGCGCTAATACAACATATTCATAAATTATAATATCCCTGTGAGTATGCAAATAATTATCTGTCCATGGAAACGTCTTTATTGTTTGTAAATAGCACAAATAATGAGCTATAAACGCGTAACGTAAATTAAAATAATTAGCAGAGAAGTTTAGATTTAATAAAGAAAGGTATAAATTATATAGCTGCTTGAAGTTGCGTCTTTAAGAGCGATTAAAATTTAATAATCACAAACAACACAGCTCTATAACCCAGAACAGATTGGTATCCCCTGGTGTAACTGTGCCAGTAATAACAGTTCCGTTACCAAGGGAACACCAACAGTTATTTCCACTGCACTGTACAGGCGCATAGCTACCGTCCTCCAAACAACTTGGGAACCAACTGGAGGTCATTTTACTTTCTTCAAGGCAGTTCTGCAAAAGAGTTGGAGCTCGAGTTTAACTAACAGGATTTCTTTCGAAAATTTGTGACAACTTTGCTAGTATTAAATGATACAAAGTTTTGAAGAGTATAGAGAAGGATTTAAAAACTAACTGTTCTTGTTGAATACCAGCAGATGAGGTCGCAAATAAAAGTAGGAGACAAATGAAAGAAAACATTGCGAGAATAAAAGACAGAAATATGACACTTTATATTACTGGATTTCTTCTAGTCCGCTGCTTATCTTCTTTTTTCTCACCCATCATCTGACCGAAACTAAGGCTGTGAATGACGTTATATCTATAATCACCAATATTGTAATATCGAATATTAGTGTCGAACAAGTTTAGCACAATTACATTTAAGTACTCGTTCAAAATACAGGGATCTATTAACCTACAGAGTGATTGCTTATTAGTGTCAAAGAGTTGAAAGAGAGTTGAAAGAAATGCGACTTTTTTGTTAATTCTGCCATGAAAATTTCCGGACGTCCGGATTTTTAGAAACCTACATCAAACAAATAACAATATTAAACAAGTTATCCGATCAAAATTGCAAAAAAATTGCGCTTTTTTTTGTTTTTGCAAACAACTTTTTGTACTTATTACATGAAAATCAAATCAATTTGAAAATATTTGCATCGTTGACTGAATGCAAATGATTATTCACTCTATACACTCGACTATCACTTGATCCACTTAGACACGTTCTCTAGGTGTAGACTGGAGACTCTACAGCCTCTCTAGTCTCTACTGTAGCAGTGTGTAGAGTGGTTTAGCTCGCTCGTTTCCGTGCAGACCTCCTCTAATCTCGTCGTCACTGTGCACTGTGCGTGGACGCCGTCTTGTTATCTTAACCCTCAACTTCTATAGTTGTCCGAGTTGTTAACTGCCGCAAGGATATGAAAATGCTGGTAACCTTGTCAGAGAGAAACTCTTTTATAGTGTTGTCATACAGCAGAGGGTTGATGACTGCGTTTATAGGTAACATAAACATCGCAAATGTAACGTACCAATAAGTAGCATCAATCAACTCAAGATTGTGTAAAGCACTTATAATGATGAATGGCACCCAACAGGCGAAATCTGTACCAATTATACTCGCAATCCTGATTTGTATGTCCCTGTTTTCTCGTGCTCTCACTGGGTTGTCGTCCTGACCTGAGTCCTTTGACGATTTGGAATTAAGGATGCCGATAATCATGTAGGACAGAGATATTAGGACAAAGCAGAAAAGGTTAATAGTCAACATGACCCACACCATCGCATTTCCTTTGATGTCTGATACACCATTTGCTTCTGATCCTCTGCTTCTTCTTGGATCATCTCGACGAACAAAATATTTGAACAGGCATACACCATCATTTCCGTAAAAGTGAACAGGACTTCTGCTCAAGTAACCGTAATCTTGGCTAAACATTCCGTCCACCTTATCCCCAATCTCATTCCAGGTTAACCCTTCGGAAATGTTTTTTGGCCCATAGTACTCTTTGAGAATCTCGATATGTTTGACTTTGTTGGGAAATCCAATAAAGACCTTGTAGTTAGGGTTATAAAACATTCCTTGCACAAAATAATCTTCGAGTACAGGAGCTAAGGGTCCACAAGCTATTGTGAGTGAAGTAGCAACGATTGTCAACACCATCAAAATCGCTTTGGTCTGCTCTTTTTTATTAGCAAGTGTCGAACCAGTCATAGAAGAACTCCCTATAATTCCAGACATCCTTATGAGACTCAATGCAGTCATAGCAAAAAGGGAAATCTGTGACCCTGTTGTGCTTACTACTCCCAAGATAGCACAAACGTTCCCAGATAACCATTCAGCTTGGTTCCTACAGTAAGTCTTTCCCTGAATGATACTATCGAAGACAGCGAGTGCTATCAAGTAAACGCCTATTAGAAAATCCCCTATTCCGATGAGGATAATAAGCACCTTGGTATACAAGACACCACCTGTTTTACATTCTTTGATAGAACATACTACCTTGGTTACTGTTATCCCATTAATAATGACCGCCGAAATCCCAAAAAGCCAGCATATGACTTTCAACAACCAGTTGTCAAGGATTTCCTTGCCGCAAGACTCATTACATTCATCGGATAGGTCAAAACAGTCAAATATCCCGTCACATTTCTGAGAGTAAGCAATCAGCTGCTTCTTTGCGTCTGGAAGATCTTTAGTGTTTTCACAAACCATTTGATTTGTACAATTTAGTTCGTCTGACATGTCACCACAATCGTTCACAAGGTTACATACCTGGCTGTACATTACACATATATTGTTTGCGCATTGGAAATAGTTATTCTCATATTCACCTGCCTCAGACTTAACGACAAAAGTCAGGTAAGAGTTGTTTGCGAGAGTGTAAACTCGGTCAGGATACTGTCGCGGACATGAATCATATTGAATTATTTTATTTGCAAGAGGACAAATGGAATCTAGACACAAATCCATACAGCTCAAGAACACATAGTATTCTCCAAATAGAAGACTACAGTCCACTTTGGAGGTAGGAGCATTAAGCATTGTTCTGACACCAAAAACATCCCCTGACGATCTTTTAAATTCCCTGATATGACATGTTGTATCTTTAAACACGTCTTTTGATTTACACAAATCCCGTGCGGAACAAGTTTCATTCACAGCAGACGTTTCGATTTTTGGGAAATCTCGCGATATCATACATACCTTATTTTCAATTTGACACGAATCCATGGTAACATAGTCGCAAAGAAGATCGAACTCAACGTAATGTAATCCTGTACACAGAAATACGTTTTTGCAAGTTTCATTTCGTAATACCACCCTATATGTCCCTTCAATTTGATCTCCACACGATTTCCACATATCCTTTCTTTCTTCATCTTTACCGTCCACACAATCAGTTTGGTTGTCCCATATCCAGGAGAATGGTACCTCGTAGTACTTATTAGGACCGAAAATGCGTTTACACTGAAAGTTATCTGATGTAGTACGACTACACATATCGTGAGATTCATCACTACCATCACTACAGTCATAAACTCCGTCACAAAATCTGTGTTTGTGGACCACACAGTCTGTGAAAGTAGATGAAGAGATACATTCAGTATCTAACTTATCGTCGCATAACGGAGTTCGTGTGCGGCCATTCAAATGACTGTCACAGATCACGTACTTTGAGACGATAGACATAGAACCATTAATCAAACAGTAACCAATCTGTTTTTCATCCTCGCCATCTAAACAGTCAGTTTGGGTGTCCAATATCCAAGATACAGGTATTTCCATGTATTTTTCAACATTAAAAGTGCGGTTACATTTAAAGTGACCCACAGTAGTAAAACGACAGATGTCTTTTTCATCACTACCGTCTATGCAATCACTAACTCCGTCACAGAGTTTGTGTTTGTGAACCACACAATGTCTAGACGGCGAAAAACACTCATTATTGAGATTATCGTCACAAAGAGTGATAGGAGCTGGTTCAGTATTTTGATCGTTCTCTAAATTGGGACTATCACAGAGCACGTACTTAGATACACCAGACAGGTAACCTCCCATTAAACAGTAACCACCCACTCTGGTCACATCAGTGCAGTTTGTTTGGTCTAGGAAGTCAGCACAGTATGGGTGTACCCAACTATCTCTAAAATCAAACACACTACACTTGGTGTTGCTCAACATGGGGACAATCTTTTTACTCTTACGTGCAGTATAAGTAGTACTGAAAGTGAAATGCATACAGGTTTGTGTTGTGTTATCAATTAACCCACAGTGCTCCTCATCCTCCCCAACGTCACATGTCGCATGTCCGTCACATATCCAGGATGGAGGTATATAAGTCATGATACGATTTACGGTACAACGAATTCCGTATTTTATTCCGTTACACTTGCTCTCATCTTCACAATTCCTCTCATCACACTTGTCGTTGCATATAGTTGCGTCTCTTTTGCGAGGACGCTTTGATTTTTCTCCGCTTGAGACATTTTTACCAATGTCACACTCGTTGTTACACTCAACAAATTTATTTACTCCTTGTTTATTATCAGTAAGAAAGTAGCCACCACACATGAAGTGTGAGTTTCTTGTTATTTTGGTGCTGAACCCGCATGCCTGATAAACATAAGGGTCATTATCACACACAGACGAAACACTGGATAGCTTGTAGAAACCAGTGCTTCTGTACAAAGTTCTACTCACTTCATATGATATGCTTGTGTTCCCACACATGTGATAAAAGTGTTTTTCTCTAACATCGAAGCAGATATTTTTCAAAAATCCACGTATATTTACGGTGGAACAATTTTGTTCTTTAGGTTTCATTGTTTTCATGTCAGTGCACCCTGAAAAATGTATGAATGT